ATGCAGACCACGGTTGTCTCGTCAGGGGTTCTGAGATGCCTTTTACAAATGACCCAAACCAGAATTTAGACTCTTTTTTTTTTTTTTTTTTTTTTTTTCGGCTCTTTTTTTTTTTTTTTTTTTTTTTCTAGGCTCTTTCTTGTACTGGGTCAGCCTGAACAGAGGATCATTTCGGTCAGCCACCTCCAGCCCCTTTTTCTTCAGTTGGTTTCTCGGGTTGGTGAGGTTTTGGGAGTCTCTCCTATTGCATTTGACTCTTCCACTACCTTATTGGCAGAAAGGACAAAAGTGACTACTTAATTTTTCCTCCTTCTCCTGATATTGCTGTTCATGCTGGTAGTTTTGCTGCTCAGTTACGCGACGGGTAGCTATGCCTTGTCCTCCACATTTATCGGAGCAGCATACTGACAGTTAGAGTAAGGGAAAGATCCTTCTCACCGATCCATTTGCCAGCCATTTCTCACCTTTATGACTGCTCCGATCCTGCCTGTTTGTTATGTCCTGTTAGGGCCCTCAAGAGTTATGTAGCTTGTACTAACTCATTTCGGGACAGTAGGAATCAATTGTTCATTCATTGGAATTCTTCTTTTTCCGTTGACTGATCTTCCATTACCCTGACAAGATGGCTTCATAAATTTATTAACATGGCCTATAATGGATTATAGTTACAGGAGAGGAATCTTTTGTGTGTCACATCTCATCAGATTTATCATATCTCTATCTCTGGAAGACATTGTGCAGTCTGGTATGTGGACTACTCCTCATACTTTCCCATCTCATTACTTACATGTTCTGGCAGTTTCCTCTTCTGAAGGTTTTTTGACTAACCCCGATAGTTATTTTGACTGCATCTGTTAAAAATATTTTACCAGAGGTGAGTATTTTCCTCAATCCCTCTTTTTTTTTTTTTCAAGGACCTCTTTATTATTTCACTGGATCCCAATTTGTGGCGAGTGTTGCCCAGACAGATATGCTTTCTCTTTTCAATTCTGCTCTAGCAACCACTTTAACTATAATTACTACAGGTTGCAACAGGCTCTGTCGAAATGGGGTGTTCCATAAGACCATCTAGTAGGTGCCTACCGGATGGTATTACCTGATTATTATGGACTGCTACGCATGGACTATCATGAGTAAAGCTTAAGGGGATCTTGCCGATCTTTAGGTTGAATAAATTGGGGTTGGTTTGCTTTCAAAAATATAGGGAACTTGGTTCACCTATTGCACAGTTTCCAGAACACCCCCACATATTACCCCCCCCCCAGACTGTACTAGTGTAGTTTGGGAGTTCTTACCACCCCAGTTTCTAGCCACTGGGGTGGTGGACAGAGGCTTTTCCTCCAGAGTGTTCGAGTGTGTTCCTCCACTCTTGTAGAAGAGGGCAAAGTTGAGGTCCCTCCTACTCTGGTGCCTTGGATGTTTTTCCCAGATGTCAGTAGGAGTGGCACCAGCATCCACAGGAGCCTACTCTTAATTCTGGTTCAGCTTTGATACAAAGCTGTTTGGTTGGAAGGTGCATGGCCCTTCTCTTTGATCAATGTTGGTTTCATATATTGTTCATGGAAGGAGGTCCACTATCTCCTCATAATTCTGAACGTGATGTGGTCCCATCCTGGGTCCTTGGTTGAGCACAGGTTTCACATCCTCTCCATAATTCCACGAGCAAGCAGAATATTCCATGCCCACTTGGTTGGAGGGTGAGGATGAATGTTCATAATTCCAGACCCAATGAGCTCTGTTCCTATGGTTGAGTATGGCATACACGATCCCCTCATTTCAAGCCTGGGGTGTTGCCTTTTGCCTTCAGGTGGAGGAGAAAGTTTGTCCACTTCAGTGTTGCTTACTTTCTCGTTGTGATTCCAGTGGTGCAAAACGGATCACTCTATGGCTACAGATTGGGATCCAATCAAAAGTATATATAACATTGCAGTCCAATAGCCCTGTTCACCAACGTGGGATATAGGTACCACAACCTCATAATTCCAACCCCAAGTTGTGGAACCTTGGGTATCTGGTTGGGGCTGGCCTATACTGATGATTAATTGTATTCTATTCCACCTTTAATATAGGAACTGGGTTCCTGGTGAAGAGCATACCTGTTCTGGATGTAGTGCGGTTCCCCCACTCTTATCTTGGTACACTTCCATTCTATACAGATGCTTTCTGTATGGTTCATGCCTGCACCGGCCCTTCCACCTTCTCAATGTGGGATTCTAGCTATAGTGTCAGTGGAAGTAAGTATGTTTTAGAAGTTAACATTTTCCTAAACTGAAAATGTATTTCCAATAATACTTACCTCCGCTGACACTCTCCCACGCTACCTCCCTCTGAAAGCTGGTTTATGTCTTGAGGAAGTGATTACATTATCTGAATGTGGTGCTTATATACAGTATCTAGATAGAGGGCACACTGAAGTTGGTGGAGAATTTTGCAAATTAGAATTTGCCAAGGGCATTCTAGTGGAGTATAAAAGACTGGAGCAAGTGTTTTCAATTCTTAGATGGGCAAAGAATGGAAACCCTGGAGATAGAGAAATAGCTATAGTGTCAGTGGAGGTAAGTATTAATGGAAATACTCTTTCAGTTTAGGAAAATGTTAACTTTCATGGATAGTATGTACTTGTTTTCTTTGTTATGTCTGATTTTGCTTGTAGAACTTCTTTTTAGTATGATGTATGTGCAATATAGTTTACAGGTATGAATAGTTATGAAAACACTTTTTGTTTAGAAAAATTTGTGTTGCTAATTTATATTCTTGAAGAGAAATGAGGCATGTTTAAAATATGTGTGTCAAATATGACACACATGCACACTTCAGAAGTTAAGAAATACTTACTTTGAAGTGATGTTTATAGATTTATTGTGCAAGTTAATATTACACTAGTACACCTAATTTTGTTTACCACAGATCATAACTAGCATTATGTGTAATCAGTGAATAAATGATGTTCCGTAAGATATACTTTAATTTCTACCTTGTTGTGTTTATATGGCTGAAGAAAAATTTAACAATCAAATCTTGCTCCTGTAATTTTTATTCATAGAATGAAAAAGGAATCTTGTGGGATCTTTAATTCTTTTTAGCAAAATTTACAATATATTAAATGGATAAATGGCATGTACCCTTGAAGAAGGAAAGAGTCCACTTTTCAAAAGTGCTTGGGTTATTGGGTTTCTCTTCTCATGCTAACATTTTTCTGTTGTTCTTCATGTTTTTGAACATAATAAGACAATGTGATGTATATAATATCTTTGAAAGTTTCCAACTTTGTCATTATTTTCTCCATGAGCATCCTAACTACAAAGACTTGTACATTTTTCCTACATAATATAGTTATTTGTTTGTGTAAGGTAAAATTAATATTATTTGAAAATGTGGACTGTATTTTTATGGAAACTTGTATCATTTTCTTTTGATATTGAGATTATACTTCCATCTCTGTGCTGAGGTCTGATTTCATCCCAGCACTATACAAAGGGGCTAAAGAGTCCATAAAAAACAAGCCTGCTTATAAAATACACTGCCAGAATTTGCCATAAAAGAACCATCATAAAATGATCTAAATAGTGTTCTGTAACGATCTATCACCACCTGCATTTTTACATTTATAAAAACTATGATATATTTAAACTGGTATAATAAAATTTAAAGCCTAGCCTTTATGACCTTAGTGTATTTATTTTCTTCAAAAATACTTTGTGTTCATATATTATTTAGTTAATTACAGAAAAGTAAACACACAGACTACCAAGGTATACAGTGTTGAAAAGGTATTCCATTTATACTACTGTTACTATGACACTACTAAGTGATATTTAAGAGGCAGAAGCATTCTGTTGAAAGTTAATCATTATATGTGATGTTTTATGACATCTAATTTAGTGAATGGTTTAATGTTCTGCTCATCCATAGCTACGACAAGCAACTTAAAGTAGCTGCCAAAGGATCTTGGTTTCCCAGATCATCAAGCTGTAGCAGTCTAAATGTTGTAACTCCTGTCTGTTCTACTCAACAGTTCCGAGTTTCGTTGTCATTGTAAGCAATTCTTTATTTAGATACCAGTATACACATAAAATCCAACAAGAAACAAATAATCTTGAATAGAAATCGTGAAGAGAAGGAATTTTTAAAGTTATAGCATTTTATAGATTTCTGATGCACTTGATTATTCAATATGTATTTCATAGTTTGGTAATTATTAACCCCTTCTGTGATGTTTCTGAGATAATTTGGGTGTCTTCCATGTTTCACAAAGTATTTTCCTGAATTAATTCTGGTAAACCGTTTCTCAACATATTTTTAATTATTTGCCCAAATTTATTCAGATCTTATGAAGTTTTGCAATTAGTGCTTGCTAGATGGTATTGGAAATGCTGTTTGTGATGATCTTCTGAATTATGTATCGTAAACACTGGAGAAAACCATTCCTATTCTTTACTGTAGTTTCATTGAAATAATATATATTGCATATAAATCCTGTTATGTAACATTTGTTTATCGAATATATCTTGTGCAGAAATATAATCACAGATCATAAAAGAATTTTTGTTCATTAATCTTTTTATAAATGTAGGCTATCAAAAAGTGAAATAAAAAAAATCTAACTTTTTTCAATTCATTTCAAAAAAAGCCTGACATGGAAGGGGTTAAGAGAGGACTTAACATACATATCTATATTTGCACCTCAAATCGTTAAGTACCTATTAATCATCAACGTTATATGACAAATAGCAAGATATTTTTTTTTAATTCAAATCTTAAAGAAATTTTGATATAATATCTTAAGTGGTATAATATTTTGTCTTTTGTTATGCCATGTGTAAATGTTTTATGTTATTGGACTAGTATGCTGTTTTACTGAGGATTTATCATTAAGCTTTCTATGTCTCCTTAAGTATAAAGGAACACAACAATGGTGACGTGATACCCCGTGTCGTGAAGACATGCATTGCTTACCTTGACAACGATACAGGTATGTTTACATATATATATTATATAGATATATATATATATATAATGAATCTAGTTGCGAGCTGGCACAAGCAATTAGAATGCAATCTACTTAAGCATTCTGTGTTTAAGGAAAACCTTTCACTCCTGTTTATCATTTAAAAACCATTGTTTATGAGGTGTGATTTTAAGAGGGCTTTTTGCTCCATAGCAATAGATGTATTTACCTCTCAAATCATTAAAGATATCTATTAACCATCAGTGTTATATGTGCAAATAATAATATCATTTGTTCTTCCTTTTTTTCTAATCTTTTATACAGTTGGATATCACATTTTAAGTAGTATACTTTTTTTTTCTTTTATTGTCAGTTGTATTTCTTAATGTTAAAATTTAAATATGTAATATTAACAAGGGACAGAAGAAGCAACCAAAAGACTAAATATTGTCTAATGTAATAAATTTGCTAATGAAAGTAATGAATCTAATTTAAATTATTACAAAAAACCTCAGCTATTTGATTTACACTGAAGTGAAAGCTGTAGGTGTATATTTTCCAAAGTATTGGCTTTCTATTGGTTGTAACAACAAAACGTAGGTCAAACTGTCACCAGGTAAAAAACCAAGAAATTCAGAGAGGGGTGATGATTTTGCTATGTAGTTATAGAGTTGTTGATTTCTCAACCCAACAATGATATGGAAGCTTGAGACCTGGTAGTTTTACTTGTGTTACGTATCGTTTGTACTTGAAATGGAATGGCAGTGTTAGCAACAATTTTGTCAACATTATAAAGCAATCAAATGTACATCTCAAATGGTTCACATAATCAAAGATTGGAATGTTTAAAGTTTTTTTTTTCATTTTAGGTAATTAACAAGTGAAAAAATAAACTGTGTTTTGATACCCAATTTGTCAACGTACACTGAGGTTTAGAGTTTTAGTTAGAATTCTAAGGTACTAGTATAGTAACTTGATAAACTCCACAAGTATGCTAGCCTCTTTGAATTATCAAATACTTTGATGATTATGACTAAATATGGAAAATGTGACAGTTATGGAGTTGTACCCACATAAAAGAAGATAGTTGGCTTTATAACATTATTACACATTACTAAGGCAACTAGCATAAAGCAGAGGGTGATTACTGATTAAGGACCAAAGGGTGATATGCTTCTGATGAATAAAATGGCTAGTGCACACTGTTCAAATAAAATGCTTGCAAGTTTCGAAGTCATCTATTAAGCACAAAGAAGAGGGGAAACTGAGGAACAAAGAGTGTAGGGGCTTGAAAAAAGGTATTGTACTCGGTATAAACTAAAAAACACTAAAAAATTAAAATACACACAAACATATCTTTAGAGTACATATTATGATTACCCAAACTACACAATGTATACACTTATACATGAATACATCATGGAAGCATGAAGAATAATGATTAAAAAAAAAAGATGTACCTACCCACCTAACCCTCAGAGGAGTGGGTCACCAACACCAAAGAAACCATTTATATTTTATTTATTGTTTTAAGTTTGGCCTTACAAGTCAGCTTACTTTTATACTAATGCTGTATTATGCTTTTGAGCTTGTACATGTAACATTAGGTGTATTCACAGGACTAATACTAATTTCTAAGAAAGTAACAATATATCACAATATTTTATAAAATTATAAGGTACGTGATACATAGCGTACGTATCACAATACAACAATAAACATGCAAAAGTATGTTATAATATTTATTCTGCCACAGTTATTTATCTGTAATTCACATAAGAAAAGGCTTAATTCTATGATCTTGTGTATTTGTTGATAAATATACTTTTATTTAAATGTCCCTGTGTGCTGATTCAAAGAAAATGTAACAATTATTTTTAAGTCATTGAAACAGAGATGTAGTGGAAGTTTTATATATCATGATATGTATGGTATAATGGCTTTTGTATCACAGTACATATTTTCTCACCCCTATTAGTTAGTGATTACAGTAAATATCTTGTGTTTCATTTCTGTGATATTGAAGCACAGAGTTCTCTAAATTGGTAAACTTATAAAATAGGTAATTCTTTCCATATTGAAAGAACACGATGACTTATTTCAGTTGTGGCTAAAATTTAAGATATATTTCATTATTAACTGTCAAGTTATTCAGATGTTCTGAATGGTGTAAGGAATGACACAAACAACATTGATTTCAGCTTTTACTAAATAGATATGAAAAACGAAAAGACAATCTATCCAGTCAGTTTAAATAGCAGTATACTTTTTGCTCAGAGTTAATATAAGTTACTTAATTGATATAAACTATATGACTATCTGCACAGTATGTTTTACAGCATTTAACCCTAGGCATATGGGTTGGTCAGAGTGTGCATGTCATAACCTTTATACAGAGTTACATTCAAAATTTAATTCATAATTTATTGTCAATGTACATCAATAAAATTGGTATCAAAATGTAGTTTATAATACAAACTTTTATGTTATTTAGGTTTTAATTTTCAATTTCAAAATGAAATATTTAAATGAGATCACGATCTTCACTACTAGGTGTCACATGATGAATTTTCTGGCATCCTGATTTCTCCTTTTAAAGTTTTTTTTCATCCTTTTTAAGTGTCCAACCAATTAGAAACACAAACTACAGGTATTTACAGGACAAAAAATAAGATAAGAACCTCTTCTCAATCTTCTTGGATATGAATAAATTTGTTAAGCCCACATGACAAACCCCCTCCCATCTCCCTCTGTCTTTTAATACAGGTCTATAGTTCTATTTGACATTGCCCTTGGACATGTGTATAACCAATACAAAAAGTATATTTTTCTTTACACAATTCCTTTAATGTTGTTTTGTTTTAGGTGGTCAAGTAGACAGTTTAGTATAAGCTTTACAGGGTTGATCAATGTTTGTTCAGTTCTGAGCAGCTAACTGAATTTTTAAATTTATTTCTTAGCTAGAAAACTAGTTAAATTATAGTAATGTTGAGACATTCTATTCTAGTGCCTGATGTATCTTTTGTGTTCTAAAATGCATATTTGCAAGCAACATGAATTATTCTGTGGACAACCAACATATTGTGAAAAAAATAGTTTTTTTTCCAGTAGCGTGTTGTAAGTTTTTGAGTATGTCATGCAGTAAGAACCTATTATTGTAATACATCTAAAAAAAAAACTTATTTGTAGAATAGGTTTACTCACTGTTTGTAGATGAAATTCACAATTGATCTTCCATCACAAATTGTTTTTATAACAGCATCACAGAATCAAGTAAAGCATGTTATGTCAATATTGTTGACCTTGAGCTTCTGTGCATGCAGTAGTTATCATGCTCTTTTAATGCAGCATGACTTGAGCTGTGTTACTCATCATGGCTGTGATTTCACTCAAAAAACAGCCCCCCCCCCCAGTGGCACAGCAGTAAAAACTGGGTTTTGATACGTGTGGTGGGCAAAGTACAGATAGCCTATTGTGTAGCTCTGTGCTTAAGTACAAACAAACAAACCAAAAAACAGGATACTTGGGTAGCATGAGATGAGAATACAGCAGTAAGAAAGTCTGCACAATGAATACACACAGTAAAAAATAAATATGAAAAGATGCATTTTGTTTTACAGTGTTATTGTCACATTTTTACTTTTTTGATTGGTCATATGGTGCTTGACTTGCATGCCACTGGTCTTATTAAAGTACATTCCTGAGTACAAATAGGCCTCATAACTAAAGTTTCTTCAATTTCTTGTTTTTATGTATTTAAAAAAAAAACTAACTGAAGTGAAAAATTAGCAACTTATTACCTTAGAAACAAAACTTAAATGAAAAAAGTTTATCTTTATCACTTGCTCATTTAATTCACGCAGTTTGAAACCACTTCATATAATTTGATCATTTGTTTACACTAAGTTGTCCTGTTGTGATATATTCGGTTTCACATATTGTGAGATGGTCTAAAATGTAAGCAGATGTGAAAAGGTTATAATCTGAGGCTGTTTGGATAAATAATTGTAATTGTATATTACAATCTGCAGTTATCCTGGAAAGAAAAAAGGATATTTTTGATTTTTGTTTCGTATTTTTCAGTTTTTGACTTCACTGTGAATTGATGATTTTGTTACAGATAGTATCAGAGTAAAGAAAATAAGAGATATAGTTTTACCAAATAAAACTTTTGATATTCAATTAGGAAGTTCTAGAAATAGATGAAAAGTGCAAGATTGAAAGCAAGTGTTTCTGCTATTAGCATGTAAGTTAACTTTTACTTAGACTGAATCGATAAAGGTTTCATAAGTCCACTGACAGATCTTTAGTAAAAATACTTTATTGAAAAATCTGATTTTTTGTGTACAACAAACTTGTAATTTTTACTATAAGCATACCACATTTTGTGAACATGCATTTAACATATTCAGAGTCATAATTACATGGTGGTTACAAGGTTGGTCAAATTGACTCAACCTGTCTCCTAAGGATTAAAATGCTCTTTAGGGATATATGAACATGTAGTATTACGTGTCTTATTAACTTCACATTTATCTCTGTATTGTTTGAATAAAATGACAAAGAAACCTTTATATAGTTTGTAATCTTGCTTCACATTTTCTAAAAATGTTCCATTTGTATAAGGACAATCATGAGGTTGGAAAAACACATAGGTTCAAGAAATCAGTTTAACACAGAGACACAATACCCTATATCTCAAACACTTTCAAAAGGTGGACCTCTCTTCTTTAGGATCAAATTGTGATGTCAATGTTGTTGACCTTGAACTTCTGTATAAACACTAAATTTCATGCTATTTTAATGCAGCATGACTTGAGCTGTATTGCTTATTGTGGCTGTGATGTCACTCCATAAAACAGGATTCTGTTGGAAGTGCCAGGTTAGTCATGCAGATTTTTGGTAGTATGAGATGCAAATAAACATGCAGAGCTCGAGCAGCATGAGATGAGAATACTGCCATGGCCACAGCAGAACCAGTTTGCCATGACTTTTGAAAGTGTTCGGGTTATAGGGTATTGCAGTATAAGGACATGTATTTTGATCAGTTATATTTACATGTTCTACATTTGATCTAAGGCTGTTCATACACCACATACTTTTAATATTTCCATTTTATCATTGACATTTAACTCTTTACTTAATTTGGATAATAACAACCATTGCTGACATTATTCCATTTGCAGTCCATTTAATTAAAATAGGTTGAGTAATGTTTTCATATGGAATCTTACCAAAGAAAATTTGGAGTTCTTTATATTTAATATACATTTTCTAAATTTTAAACATAATTTGCTGAATGTCATCCACTGTTTGAGACTAGAATAAAACCAGTATGTCAGGTAATAATATAATTTGTTTAGATTTGGTTGGTAATTTACTGAATCCATCCACTATTTTAGACTGTAGAATAAAACCAATGAGCCAGGTAATCTGTATTATCACTTTTTGCCAATATCTGTGAATGTATTTCAAAACAATGTTAATAATAGAAATAACACAGCTAAGAGTTATTGTCACAAAAAATTGTATGGGATATGAATAATTAAAGTATTTTAGTTAATGCTAGTTAACTTTGCTCTTTTAAACCAGAATTTCAAATGTTTTAACTCTAATAAAAAAAAAAAGATATGTACATTTCTCATGTCAGTTCATAAGTATGCCATAGGGGAACTTGTGAGCAGAAATTAATGAACATTTCCAACTTAGTCCTGTTATGCATTCTTTTATATTTCGGTAGCTCTTGAAACTGAAGGGATCTTCAGGAGATCAGCCAATACCCAAACTCTTAAAACAGTACAGAATTGTTTTGATGAAGGTATGTAACATGAGTAGATGTTTTAATTATTATTTTTGATAAGTTTAAAAGTCTTGTCAGTTTAAATTTAAAATAGTTTTGACATATTAAACCACCTATAGTCATATCAACAATATAAATGCAACAAATGAAAATAGTATAAGATGCTAATTGAACCAAAGTAATGATGTATTATTGTGATGTAATATCACCCATATATAATACTGCTAAGTGTCCTGTTCCACCACCTACTGTTGTCTACTTCTTGACACTTATTGTCTCATAAACAATGGATATAAGTAATGTATTTTGTAAACCAGGCATTCGGTGGGAAAAAAAAAGTCTCGTTGGCAGTAGCATATGACAAAATATGGTTGAAATACCAATATACACACTTTCCACTAGAAACCTCTATTGGGCCAGTAAAGAATGAAATTAATTAAATTATTTTCAGACTTGATATGATTTAATATCATGCACAAAATGCTAAATGCCATTTCATACTACATGTCTTTATGAAATATTATGTAGCTTACAATACAGAGTATAGCTTATAGTTGGCACAATAAAGCTTTACAACAATTAAAGTATGTGTAATATGAAACATATTTAGTTCACGTTAGTTAATCATCTAGATACAGATAGATCAAGGTGTGCATGTCATGTTCTTTTTACAGAAATATATTCAAAGTTTTAACTAAACTACTTTATTATCAATGTATTTCAATAACCTAACCATCAAAATGTAGTTTATAATTAAATTTTAAGTATAAGTTTTAGTTTCTTAATTTCAAAAGGAAATATTTAAATAAATTCTCAGTCTTCACTTTTTATGTATCATCTGACAGTTTTTTGCTCTGAATTGCCCATCTTAAAATTTCTTTCTACTTCTGTGTTATTTTCTAAGTTACCAAGGACTTACCTTACACACTTGTAATTAGATATCTATGAGTTAAGATGAAAATTTATAGCACATTATTATTCGTGCTTTAATGGCTATTTATGCCATAAACGAAAACTCGCATGCCACATCCCTTCTAGCATTCCGTCAGTTGCAAAGCGGTATGTCTGCAGACTTGTACTGCTAGAAACTGGGTTTCGATACCTGTGGTGGGCAGATCACAGATAGCCCTTTTTGTATAATAACAAACAACATCCTCTAGCATATGTTGTCTTTAAAAGATGTGAATAGTTCTCTCTGGAATTTTCTGTTGGATTATTTATAACTAATAGAAAAAGATTTTAATTTACTGATCTCCATCCTTATGAATTTAGTTCATTCTCTTGATTGGTTTTGAGTTATTCTGGATCAATTTCATGCTTTGTTATTACCAAGATTGCCTTGACCAGATAAGAAAATATTTTCATGCACATATAGCTCAGTTAATAAGCTAGGTAAATTATAATAGTTTCAGACATTGTTGTTGTTTTTTGTTACATAATAATATTTTGTGTTCTAAATTGCATAATTAAAATACTAACAACACCCTTATAAAAAAAATAGGGTTAATTTTGACACTATGAGAGCAAAAAGTACAAGACTCGGACATAAGTACTAAATTTCTTGTTTTTAATATAACTTAAATGTAAAAATTAGAAACTTATTTGGTTAGATAAGAAAAATTAAGTGAAAGAAATTAGATTGAGAAATATTTAATAGCACAAGCACATTTCACATGCATAGCATGTTGTAATTTGTCTGAGTATGCTGGTAACTTGATGCTGTGTTAATACTAACAGGCCCCACTGTGATAATTTACTTTAATGTTAATATGAGGGATATTTCACTTTGGCAGTGATGCAATAAAGCCAATTGACCAGGATATTTGAATTTTATTAGCTTTGGATATATCAGTAAATAGTCTGTAACAATGTGCAGTCATTCTAGAAAATAAAAAGAGTCAATTAGATTTTAGTATTTTTTTGTGGTGGTTACATGGTTGGTCAACTAGATGGGGCTTGTATAGTATTAGTGTAGAGAAAATAACATAGAACATAAAATTTTACTGTAAAAAAAACTTTATATTCATTTAGGAGATTCTAGAAGTTATGCAAATGGCATATGAAAACTGTAAAATGAGAAAAGTATTTCTAATCTTAACATGAAAATCACATTGGATTCAAACTGTAACTCTACAAATTCACAGAAAAATCTTTAGCAAAAGTACTTAACCCTTCCATTATGGGCTGGGTGGATTCCACTCAGTTCATAACCAGGAAAGTATCTATGAGAGTAATTGTACTATAATTTTTGAAAATGTACGAAAGTCTTTACAAAAATTTGCAGATTATTATTAAACATTACAAGGATTTCGTACACAGAATATCCAGTTTTTGAATTATGTTTTAAGATTTTTTTATTAAATATTTACTCATGAATTTTTTTTTTCATAATGTTGACTAATCAATGCACAAAGTAATTTTGATTTTAAGATTAAAAATACTTTTCTTTATCTGAAATTTGTCAAGTTTGATATGTGTAATCTCTATATCTTTCTAGATAATCATCAAACATTTTTTTCATAAAACTTTTTATTTAATCTATTTTATCAATATTAATTCTGTATGGTGTTGATCAATTTGACTGACCTCATAAGCATCATAAAAATTAAGAAATAAATCTAAATTACCTTTTTGTTCTAGAATAACTGCAAATTGTATTAGGAAACTACAGATGTTTATTCTAAATACCTTAAATCTCTTAACAATATAAATCTATTTATGTTTATTAATTTTTGTTTTATTGACCTTTGAACCATGTCTGACTAAAAATACCCTGACAAAAGTTGAAATTACACAGTGCGCTTGCATTGACATGACCCTATCGAACAGCATAATGCAGAAGCTTCTGGCACGTATACCCCATGAATGTTTTTTTATTATTTTTCTTTCATTATCTTACCTAACAACTTTCTATTTTTATGATTTTAGTTACTTTTATAATAATAAACAGTTAAAACAAATGAAAAATAAAAACCTCGTAATTATATATCAAACATTTTTATTTTCAGTAAAATTTTATTTGTTATTTTTTGTATTGATAACCTTAACAAAGGTTATGTTGCGTACACAGATAATTATTTCAATTTCATGAGTTTGGGGAAAAAACTGACTGAGCAGTCAAGCTACATATGGGAAACGCTCCGGTTTAAAAATCCAAAGGATATGGTCCAAAGAAAAGTTGAAGGGGGAACATTGATGAAAGTGATCAGAATCAGAGGTAGTTTGTAAATGGAAGGACATATGGGAAGTGCTTACAATAAGCAACATGCACAGAGTGGAAATAGTTGATGTTGTGAATCAGAATAATAACATTTTGAAGAAACTCAGTATAGTCCATGATTACAACAGTGGCATGTCCAGGATAGACAGAGCTGACCAGATGTTGTCATATTACTCAGCTCTATGTAAGACAATATAACAGAAGAAGAAGATTGCCCTTTACATCAATGAGATACTTATTATGAATGCCCACATCCTGTACAATGGAGATTTTGGAGATTTCATGCTTGTACACCTAGTAGAATTTCAGTAGTGCAAATAATGATACAATACAAATTTGACCATGATTATTAAATAGATTTATGTTTCCCAAATTGCCAGCAGAATGTTTGTTGCATTATCTGGGATGCCAGCATTTACTGTCTACTGTACAGTAGTGTAATCTTTTCTACAAGTATACTCGTTTTTGGCAGTCAGTGTGTTAAAAAGTCTCCATAAAGTTGGTCATATTGTTTTAGAAATCATGTTACTTAAAGCAGGCCCCCCAGTGGCACAGCGGTAAGTCTGTGGACTTACAGCGCTAGAAACCGGGTTTTAATACCTGTGGTGAGCAGAGCACTATTAGCTCATTGTGTAGCTTTGAGCTTAACTTCAAACATACAAAACAAACTTAGAGCAGGGATTGCATAATCTTAGCACTTAACTTTAAGGTATATATTTTTTTTTTAAAGTACAAATTACTTAAATGTTGTTTATCAATATTTTTATGGTAAACAAAGATACTGTATAACTAGTACCAAGAGCAACAGTTAAACTGCTTGACCATTATGATATAGTACTATCTCTTCAAATAACATAATCCTTATCATTTACATTTACATAATTTTATTCTGGAGAGAAAAGAACATGCCTCTTCAAAAGCTTTAATTATCATTTTATTTTTTTGACTCATGTTTTTATAAGTGTTCATTTTAAGATCTTTGAACACCAAAAATTTTATTTTAGTCAGTTTGAGATTTTCAAGTAAACTGTTTGCACACACACACACATGTCATACTTTTCTTGGCCAGTGTTTATTTTTTTACTTAGCTGTGTGTTTTTGTACCATTCACTAATGTACTGAAAGATGTTTGATATGTTTATATAATTACTACACAAAATAGGAAAATATGAAGAGTTTTCTCAAAGCCTTTTTTAACCACAATTCTCCAATACTGTCATATTGACAGACTGAGTGAAGAAGGATTTAACAAAAATCACAAAGGTGCAAAAAAAAAGGTGTAGAAAGGCAATTTAGTTTCACAAGTTCTAATAAAATAGGTGCTGATTATATGTTTGGTCTTTCATGCTGATAAATAATAACAGTCTGTACTTAGTGATTGAGGCCAGGTGGTTATGGCGCTCGACTCGCAATCTGCGGGTTGCGGGTTCGAATCCTCGTCACACCAAACATGCTCGCCCTTTTAGCCATGGGGGCGTTATAATGTTACGGTCAATCCCACTATTCGTTGGTAAAAGAGTAGCCCAAGAGTTGGCGGTGGGTGGTGATGACTAGCTGCCTTCTCTCTAGTCTTACACTGCTAAATTAGGGATGGCTAGCACAGATAGCCCTCGTGTAGTTTTGCGCGAAATTAAGAAACAACAACTTAGTGATTGACAATGCAAATGTTGTTGGCAACTCTAAAAGAATTTTTACTATGTCCAAGTGCATTTACTGATTATTATAGATAAGATCCCAAGTGGATATGAAAGGGGACTTCCAATCTGATATATTACTGGAAGTGAAATGACAAATAATTTGTTCCATTATATATTAACTAGTGGTGAAAATGAATAAAATTTTTGGTTAACATGGAAAGAGGTTGTAAGTCCTGTGGAAACATAATTTTATACAGCTGTTACAAAATAATAAAATTAGATTTACTTATAAGACAAATATTTTATCTTTGGAATTGTAAATCTCATTATTAACATTTTCTAATATTTTAGGTAAGACAGTGAACTTTGATGACTACAGTGACATCCATGTACCTGCTGTGATAATTAAGACTTTTTTGAGAGAATTACCGGAACCACTGCTGACATTTGAATTATATGATGACATAATTAGTTTTCAAGGTTAATAAATTTCTTTTTTATTCTATTAAAAGCAGTGATGAAATAAATGGAGGAACATTGATTATTGAAATCGTGTTCATTATAATACTTTCTGAAATATGATTAATTTCTGCTTTATTAAACATTAGACATTGTCTTTTTTTTTTTTTTCCTAGTGTTGTAACTACCACTTTTCAAAAGTTGTGTTATTTTTATAAATTGTTTCATTTTTCTGTCCAGATAGATTTTGCTATTAATACGATTAATGATATAACCAAGAATCAATTTATGTGACTCATGTTTTCTGAATATTATTTATTCATGCATAATATTATGAATTTATTGTTGATTAGTAAATTCAAAGTATTTAAACATAACCTAAATAGAAAGTAAATTTTGCTTTGGCACTTAAGCTAATCAAAAGCAAACCTAAGCATTATGTTGTATGATTAAGGTTCCTAGAAGTATTTTTTGAATCTTTCTCAAATTAAATTGGTTTACCATTTTTGAAAATTTTTTAATTAACTTAAAAAACTAAGCAGATTTTGGAATCATCATAACAGGGCTAAGTGTAAGTTGATCTATGATTAAATTATTACTGTGTGTATTGTATTTGGTTATTTTCTGAAAATTTTCAAGTAATCATTTTCAAAATCAGAATTCATTATTAAAACTTCATAAATAGCCGAGATCCACTTGTACCCTTTTAAGTGTAATATCTATGAAAGGAAAGCAAGTGTACTTTTTAGTTGTGTGTTCAATAAATATTTTAATCTTATTGACCAATAAAATAACTGCATTTTGAAAGGTTAACCACTTAAACTTCAAATTTATCAAAGTTTGTAAATAATATATAACTTTTGCTATTAAGTTTGGAGAAAAAATATAATTATAGATGACCATGTACTCTATTAAAATTATTTGAAATACTGGGGAAGTTTCTTTTTTTCAAAGTATAAAATACTCATCTTCAGGCTATCAATCAAGTACCTGTTAGTTAGTGAGTAATAATATAATTTTTCCTTCAGACATATTTAGAAACCATAAAATACTGTAACAAAAACTTGATGCATAGTCTAATTTCATGTGCTATTTCAAGTGTGTGTGATTGCTTTTAAGCTTTTCTTTAAAATTCAGTTAATTGCATGAGCAAATAGAAAATTATGTTATATATACATTTATATATTTATTTTTGAATAGAATTGGAACAGACAGAAAAGCTTCCTGTTGCCAAGTCTTTAGTGCTACAGAGATTACCTGAAGAGAACTATTGGCTTCTCAATTATATAGTAGAATTTCTGGTCAGGGTAGGTTGATTGGATTTAACTTGAGAAAACTTGCAGTTAATTATGTTAGTTTTTGGACACATAAAGTGAATGTATTTTAGATATCTCCAGAGTGAAACTGACCATTATTGTATTAGAATATCTAGAAACTGTTAAGCTATTTAAATTGAAATGTTAAAGAGTGTATTGAAAATGTAAAGTGTGATTTGTAATGTAGACCTGTTCTTAATATATATATATATATATGTGTGTGTGTATGAATGTATATATTTGTATAGGCACACACATACACACACACACAATGGAATCCTGATAAATAGCTACCTTATTAAAGCAGTTAAAAGATCAGAAAACCAAATTTAGTTTGTATTCTGTATTTGAAGCATAAAAACAACCCTACAATTTAAGTGTTACAGTAAGGAAATGGGTAGTTAACTTTTGATGTAATACTAGCCTAAGGAATTATACTGTAGATTAGTTACATTCATAGAGGTTTTCATAAAGGTTTACATCTTTCCGTACATCTATATCATTTTAGTTTATAAAACTTTCTTTTAAACTATTTCTCTGTCAGGTTTTCTGTAACGGTTTTCCTCATTATTCTGGGTAGGTTATGGAATGCAGTGACCTGAATAAAATGACTGCTTCCAACTTATCTATAGTATTTGGACCCAACTTGGTGTGGTCACAGAGTCATCAGGCCTCCCTTTCATCCATTTCCCGTATTAACCACTTCACGGAGTTTCTTCTGAAGAATCATGATATTATCTTTACCAAGTAGCTGCAGAGAAACAAGTGAAAGTTAAGTTAAATTTAGAATGAAAATAATGAAAAAAAATTATAAATCTTTATTTTCATGGAATTGAGACACAGATAGGTCTGTTTCATTATAAGACATATATTGTTTTTTGTTATAAAGTTGTTCTGATCCAGACTAGTTTTTACCAAGTTTTTCAGATTTTATTCAAGAGTTTAGCAGTTTCAGCTCTATAAGGTAGCCTTAGAAGATTAGAGGTAATTAAATATGAAAAGACAAATAAATGAATCTCCAAACATAAAATTCAAACATATCATCTTTTCTATTGTGCTTTGAATCTCTAGTATTTACTTTTTACTTGTAGTAGTTATTCTTACTATTTTTACAGGTTTTAAAGAAAACACAATGGTATATGTTGTGAATGATGTAGCCTTTTTAGTGAAATCAACAGAAGTGTTTATGTATTCTTGTGTAAGTATGTGTGTATCAAAAGCTTTATTTATCTGTATTGCAAAATGGATAAGTGCTCTTCATGAAGAAGAAATATTATAAAACACAACCTCCAGAATTGTATATAATTTTTTTTAAATGTACTTGTATGAAAATGAATCTCCCAATTGAATCACTATATTAATTTTATTATTACTTGACATCCACTAACATTTTTAGTCAGTGTTAAACAAGAGGCTGTTAAAGCAGAAGTGTATGTACCAGATGTTGATGAACCTGTACAAATTTTGAAAGGCTACAGGTTGTACCAATCTACAACCAATAAATTTAGAAGTTGATGACTTGTTTTCTGTGCTGTACAGGTTTGAGTATGTTACTTGGATTTGCACACTGTGCATAGAACAGGAAAATCAACTAAATGAAGAGCAATTTTTATAAATTACCTAACAAAAGTAAACATACTGTAGAAGTTACAAAAGACTTAAAAATTATTTGAAACTTTATACATTTTTACCTATCAGGTCTGTAACTTTCTGTTTTTACATTTTTTTGAAATTAGGGAATTCCAACATCCTCTTTCCATCAAAGAATTGTAATTCCTGTGTATTTCCCATTATAATAGATATCTAATTCATTTTTTTTGTTTATATATATATATATATTTCATTCCTATTACATAAATATAAACCTGGCCAATAGTAGCTACTGGTAGTTAAATATGGTGATTGTATGTTATGGAATAGTTTTGAATTGGAACATTGATAAAATATTTTTCTTTCTTGAGTAATATTTGTACAACTTGAAATGAATGTACATCTTTAAGAACTTGGTTTTTCCATATATTTATTATGTTTTCATTGCAATATAGAAACTAGAATATTGTTATGTATTTCCAATTTCATTGTTAACACAATTCTGAAAAACTACATCATGTGTACTTGAAAACTTAAATCTAAGCATATCATTCTGATATTAGTGACTGTTGTATTTTGCTTTTGTTTTCCTGGTTTAATTGGTTGGAAAATATTTATAGGTTTTGAAATGCTGTTTTGATGTATATAATTTTCACACATAAAAGATAATTAACCACCTACTTTTTTGTTTTTATTAGTTGCCAGTTATAGTTTTTTTACTATTTTTATCCTTATTTTTCAGTAAACAAAAATTAATAACTGTCTTTGGATATTAATGAATATTTTGCAATACCTATGCATTCCCTTAAAAATAACTTTTCATGAGCTTGTAATTTTTATGAAAATTATGCAAATATTTTTTTTATCCTAAGTTAATAAAAACGATATTTAAGTCCTGGTACGTAGCATTTATATATATATATATATATAGAATATATATATATATATTCAAGACCTATTGTTGTATGATAAGCAAAACACTAAACTGGCTATATGAAATTCCTATAAAAAGTGTATATTAATGAAATTGTTAAATCCATTTTGGTCTCTTATGTAATTATGATGATGATAATGTGTGAGAAACTATAAAGAATGCATCATTAATCTTATGCATTTGAAAAGTGTGCACTTGTTCCAGCATTAATAAGCTGATGCTGTAGTATTGTTTTTATTAGAAATGTATTTTGTTCTTGTATGAGGTGGCTTGGACTTGTTTGGAAATGTTTGTCACATTGTGTATTTCATGACTATCATATCACTAGTAAAGCTACTCTAGTCCCTGATATGTAAGTTTTAAATAGTCCTTAGAAATACAAAACTTACAGAAGAGTAAGGTATACTTTATTGCAAATCAAGGCAGTAACACGTGTGTGATTGAATGTAAACATAGATAGGGAAATGCTATCTTTTAAATTTGCTATTGCATGATATTTCCTGGCTCTTTTAAATACAAACAACCTACATTTTCATGATAGCAGATGCCATGGTAATTTTCTTGAATCATGAAATGGATCTTGAATTTGAGCTCTTTTTCGAGAACATAAAAGTCCAGTGATTATGCACGTGATGTACATAACATCATTTTTTATGATTTTAGGTGGAAGTTACATTGTTGTGAGCCACAGACACTGATTTTGTTTTACATTTTAGCACTATGGTATATACAGATAAAATACCCTCTTTATTTTTCCCTGCATCTTTTGTTTTAAAGTCATTACTACAACACAGATTGAGATGTTCCACATCTGTTGCATTTTTTGTTTTAATTAAATGGGTGTTTTAGAGTTTTAAGTTTTTATAGTTTGCTACTTACTGACTGAATGTTGTATTGGTAAAGTAACAGATGTAGATGATACAGCTTGCATACAAAATAGTAAAAATAGCTTAAAAGCTGGACAATTCACTTAGATAGTTGAGAGTATGGATGGCATTTTAGGTCACTTATGCTTTTACATCAGGTTAGCAGAGTCTAGCTTTGTATGGGGCTATCAGGATAGGTGTGCAGACATGAAGGGAGGGTTCTTATGCTTGATTTATTTCAATTGGTTGAGAAGTTCTGGTTACTGAGTGGCTTGTTCTGGATCAGTAAAATACATTGATTGTGTATTTTAGTTCTTTGGTCGTTTTTTGTGGGCTAACTTTCTGTCCTTAGTGAGTGATGTATTCAAATTATTTTGGGACTTTTTAAGGTGAAGTTTAACTATGACACTGTAAGATGCAATAAGGAGGTGTGCTGATTCCATGAACTGAGTCACTTCTTTGCATTTCATTAATAGTAAGAATAAATTTTTAATAAACAAAATATATTCCCATGTATTTTAGTCTGTTAGCAGCTGTTTGTTGTTATTTATCTATGATATAATTTTTATTCTTCTTCTCTTTGTAATAAACTTGGCTTTTATAAGCAAGGAATTAATATGTATTACACAACAGTAATTATGCTTGTTTCATTGATTGCATGATATTTAATGAGTTATTTGCTATAAAAACACACGTATGATGCTGCTGCTTATTTTCAGAGTATATAAACTTCTCAAATAAGGCTAACAAGTATTTACATGAATAAATTAGCCAACTTTGTTTTTTTTTCTTGAGATGTGATACAGTTGTTACAATACATGCAAAAATATATATTGGTCATTATATTTAGAATAGCTTTTCAATTATTCTTTACGTCATGATGGTGCTTACAAAAGCAAGTCTGACTGTTAGTAAAAATCACACTCTTTGGTGCCAATAATCTTAACAGATATTCTCTACCAGTTGATTCTATGGTGCTGTTCTAGTGTGTTCTGTTATTATTTGCTAAGGCCTTGTGGTACATTGTGCATCATCATATCATTTGTTGCATAATGGATTATAATTTTAAACTATAGTTGATTTAACATTTTTATCTAAGAGGCTGTAATGCAGCATGTATCTTTTGCTGCACTGATGGTGTACTATATGTATCCTTAGGTGGTGTAAAGTAGAATGAAAGCTTTATTTACAAGCATTTGATCCCTAGTTCTAATGGTACTCAGTTGTATTTATATTAATATATTAATTATAATAAAATTCCTGGTCATATGTATATATTAATATATACATATATGAATGTGTGTGTGTGTGTATAATAATTCATTCTATTGATATCTTCAAAACTATAAACAAGAAACATCTTAATGATTAATTTTTTATTCCTCGGAGAGAGAGAGTTGTCAATAATTTGGATATTTGAGAAGCTAAAGATCTTTGAATTTTTTATTTTAATAATGTACAAATATTTTAGTATCCTTTCTAGAAGAGAATATATATATATATATATATATCTCAATAATTCATAAAGATGCATAGTTTCATGGCTTTCTTTTGGGTTGTGATACACTTGGTATCTATGGTTATCTACTGAAAATATTTCCATGGTTATTTCTATTAATACCTGGATGGATATTTAGTGGATAATGCAAATTGGAAAATTCCAGATTTCTACAGTTATATATCTTATTATTAACTGTAGTCAGCTTAAACTAAAATTAACAAGTTGTAAAAACTCAGTTCTGTGACTGTTTCTTAAGATATACATTTGTTCTCCATTGTACCAGCAGTATGTGTAATGAAAGGCTGACATCCTTCTTAAAAAGAAAAATTATAAAAATACTAAAGCATGAATATTTCTTTTCAAATCGTAATAAAAAACTGTTGTATTTTGATGAAATTGTCATCAGCCCTCATTGCTCATAATATTTTAAGAGAGTTTTGAAAGTTATTAAATGCTTATATATTTTGTTATGATTACTGTTATTTCTATTATAGATTTGTTTGTTTGCTAGACCCTGATCCAGGTATAATTAAACAATATTGCATTTCTTCAAAGATTGTAAAATACTTGTTCTTTTAGTGCAGAAAATATCTTACAATTTATCTTAAACTTCATTATACATTATTAACAAAAATCCTGATTTCAGTATTTTTAAGGAAATTTAATGGTCTAACTTTGAAATTCCAAACCATTGTGGAGCATTATTAGTTTAACATTTAATTTTTCAGTGAGCTTAAACTTTCAGAACTTATTAAAATAAGTTTCACAGGCATTTACTCATTTGTGGCCAATTGTCAGTTCATCCTTTGAAGGGTATTAAAGATGGATATGGTGCTCTTTGTATTTTTTATTGAGAGTGAAAATTATATAA